CACCTCTATATGTATGTGATAAGATATCAAACAATAGTTGCAGTTCATCATCATCATCAGTGTTGCAGCTGCAACCACATCATCAGCTCAAGCCTATAGTTGGTTAGTTAGTTAGAGTAAGAGTTTGTTAGAGTATGTGTGTGTGTATTAGTTAGTTGAGTGGAGATAGATTAGTTGTAACTGCCTTATGTATATATACATATCATATAAAGACTATTGATCTACTGTGAAATGAAATGAATGAATGTTGAGTTTCTTCATGGTATCAGAGCATTAAGCTCTAACGAACATAGTGATTCATGGCTTCAACATCCCCTATTGTTGCACTTTCAAGCTCTTCAATCTCTTCGATTCATTCAAATCTTTCCTTGTTAATTTCCAAGTTGTTTTTTGTTTGTCACTGTCAAACTTGATGCAACAAATTTCGCGATCTGGAAAGCTCAATGGTAGAATATCCTCGAGCTACAAATCTTTTTGGTTATGTGGATGATACGATCTCTTGTCCACCATTAACAATCATTGATGTTTCAAGAAAAATTGTTTCTAATCCTGAACAAGTGCAATGTTGCCTGATAAGTACTATTCACTCAAACACTAGGTCAAATGAGAGGTTTAGGAGAGGCTCTCCCCTTGGGGAGGGGGTCTGGGGGGGTCCAAAGGGGCCTCTCCCGGCCGAAATGTTTTGGGTACTTTCGTAATTCCCATGCTGCTTCTGTGTAACCCTAATTCTATAATTATAAATAGATGAAGGGACGCCTCTTTTAGGTTAAGAGAGAGTTATATTTTTCTAATCATAGTGAAAACCGCAGCAGCTGTGGACATAGCCCTATTCTAGGGTGAACCACGTAAATCCTTGTGTTCTTGTGTGTGTGATTTTTTTTATTCATTTTTTCTTCATTGTTTTTATTTCGTGTCTCGCCAATCTTGGTTAGGAATGATAAATTCCTAACAAGCTTCAGCATCACTACTCAGATCTAGACAGTGACAGCTACCATGCTGCAGCGACGCAACCGACAGTTTTCGATCTAGCTTATTTTCATCATCATTTGGTTCACAATAGTGGTTGATTTGAAAATTATGAGGGGGTTTCTCTCTATCTCGTTGTCGCATGCGACTCTTCGATGCACGCCACCTCTGTCCCCTATATCGCCGCCATCTGCCGTCCTAGATTCAACACCGTAGGGTTAAAATGGCGACTATAGAAGTCCCGATCGGGGACTAATTCTCCGGTGAACATCCGCCGCATGGTCTCTAGCTCCATTACAATCCATATCTCCCCATCTCTCTCTCTCTCTCCAGATCCATTCTTTTCCTCTCTTTTTTTCATTTCTTTGTTTGGTTCTTAGGAAATTTTTGTATAATTTATCGGATTGCATTTCAATAATTGTCATCATAGATCTAAAATATATGAGATGTGAGCTTCAAAACTGTTTCAGGGACAAAAAGTTTAGAAAATGGGCCTGAGTAGTGCCAACAATACTCAAGCTCATGTTAAGCACTCGCTAGCCCCAACAAATCAAGCACTCAAGCTGTTGTGTTTGTGTTTTATTGCTCATTTATTTTGTTAAAATTTCATTTGCTATCCATTTACCACATAATAGATCTGTTGTTTTTCAACAAATAGTTGGCTTGAACAGGTTAGAAACCCTACATAGGGAGAGAGAGAGAGAGAGAGAGAGATAAAAAGAAAAATAAAGATGTTGTTGATGATTGGTGATGATTGCAACAAATAGATTTACAATAGAGATTTTTTCAATAGATAGAAAGAGAAACAGATAGTAAGAGACAAGCGAAGTGGGGAGAGAAATAAATAGATAGATAGATAGAAAGAGAGAGAGAGAGAGAGAGAGAATACATATGGAGAGAGGAAACAAATAGAGAGAGAAAAGTTTTAAAATGGTCTGAATTTAAATAAAAAGAAAAAATAGGTTAAAATTGAACAGATAAAAAAAATTTAAACAGATAGACAAAAAAAATTGAATAGATAACAAATAATTTGAACAGATAGATATAAATTTGAACAGATAGCCAACAAAAAATGAACATATAAAAAAAGTCAACAGATAAATAAATGCGTAAAATTAGAAACAAAATGTCTTCCAAAATAATAAAATGATTTCTCACTAAATTATTTCATAAATGGTAGACCTCTCACTAATAAAAAATATTCATTGGACCTAAAACCTTATACTCTCTTTATTTTGAACTTTTCAATAATTTTCTGTATTATATATGGGATGGATCGTTTGTTTCATTTCCCCTCGTCCTCTAACATGATTGTGGGGGTAAAAAGGAGTTTAAAATGGATCATGATTCTTTGTAATCATCTTATTGTGATAAATCAATTAAAACTTAAGTTTTAAGTTAAAATTTAAAATTATTTTACTTTAATTTTAAATCGAACCGTTAAATTATATACTTTGCTGAAATTTCTTATAATAAAAGCACAACAAAATCATTGTACGAAAGCCATGGAAGAGAAACTGACTTGCCTACCTGCATCCTTAGAAGAAAGAATAAGAAACACATGTGATTATAGAGGTACAAATTCTCTTTTATGGAATGGAGAATTTCATGATCAATAACACCTATATTAATATATCTTTATGTTAAATTCGAAACAGTAAAGAGAGAATTTAAAATCCAAATTGATGTAATAACTATAGACTGTTAATTTTGAATTTTAATAACATCTTGCAACTTTATTTATAGGAATAGACATTTCTATTCTAATTAGAGCAACTTCAACAGAATCTCTATATTGTGCCTGTTAATTATTTTACCTAACCAAATCATAATTTCAATACTCTAATAGGTTAGGCAATACACTAGGACTAGCATTATGCCTCTGCTTTCCCCTACAAATTAGACAGCCATCAAGAGCCTTGTAGGAATACACATTAACTAAAATGATTAAATAAAATAGAGTATTTTTTTTTTATGTACTTTTAGGCCTTGTTTAAAAACATACTATTTTTATAATTTTTAAAATTTTTACGAAAAAATATGCAAAAAAATAAAGAAAGTGGTGTGACAACTTATAGTAACTTTTTAACATTTTGACTAAAACTAATACTTGTCAAAAGTAGGCAAAATGTCTCATAGTGTTGAAGTTGCTCTTATATATAGAAAATCTTAATTCAATCAAGTCTTCAATTTACTTATTACTTTAAATCGAAAGACTTATTAAGCTATATGATATTTTTAAAAATGTACCGTTCTTATTAAAAATGCTGTATAATTCCTATAATGAATGAATGTGAAGCTGTCATTTTTGTAGTGTTCTGTATAATTGATAAGTACAATAATCTTACAAGCTTATGCTTTCAAAGATGCATTAATGCTCTAACTATATATAGAGCATGACAGTACAAAATATAAATTATGTATAACTTCAAGGTTACATTTAATCTCCGTAGTGAATATCTCAAAAAAAAAATAAATAAATAAATAAATAAAAAATCAAAGTCAAAATCAATCTTTGTAGTGAAGTGCTCATGCATAATCACACATCCCATACTCACACAACTCTCCCTTCTTGCATTTCTTATGGCAACCTCCACAGTGGCTCTTATCAAATGATGCATTCACAAACCTCCCTCCACAACATATCTCAGCGTACTTGCATTTATACCCACGCATCCCACAGTTCAATTGATCTGTCTTCACATTCACACACTTCTTCTTGTAGCAATCTGGCCTGCGCTGTCCTTTAGTCCACAAACCCTAGGAAACTTTTCACAAGTATAGTTTGCCGGTATCTTCTGCTGTGCCAAAAAGCTGCTCAAACCTCGTAAAGAAGCAGTTTCTTTGATTTCACCACGTGAATGATCGTCAAAGTCATCTTCATGATCAACAAGGTCTTGATCTGTATCCAATGCTGCAACAATGGTAAGTGTTACAAAGAGTACGAAGAATAGTACTTTTAGGGGTGTTGAAAGCATGGTTTTAGATAACAGTATCAGGATATCACGAGGATATGTCTTGGTATTTATAACCGTGATGATTGGGAGGAATGAGAGTGGGGGTGGTTTGATAGGAGATGAGGGGTTTTACAGGGGGATTGGCAAGAGAGTTGACAACTTGCCAGTGGGAAGTTGAAGTTACAAGGCTTGCTTCTTTTTTTTTCTGTGGTCTTGATTCAATTGACTACTTGCAAAATACTGAAAAAAAAAAAAAAAAAAAACCATTAGATTGGGAGTAAAGAAAAGTAAAGCAATTGGTGCATGATTTTTGTATCCCAAAATGGAAGGAATCTGGCAAAGAAGGCAGCAGTACTCAGGTGCCAATCACAACCTGCCACATCATAATATGAAGGGACTATTTAGTCATTTCATAAATAAATTCAATGATTCCTATCTTTCCTGCTTCTAGCCAAAGGAAGCTGCAGATATGAGAACCCTTTCCCTGAAATTGATGTAGTTTTGATGGATCTGTATAGGCTTGACTTCATTTTGGCCCTGTTTATCAGCCTGACAGTCTGCAACCACATTGTTTGGCTTCCTACACATTTGTTACTTTGATTTGATCCTTCAAGGCTGTGATGAGAAAAAGAAAGAGAAAGTCACAATGATACATGACATTGAATTTGAACCTGCATGGATGGCCCAGTGGCTAAAGGGTTGAACATTGAAGCTTAATTACGGTGTAATTCTTAGAAGATCTCATGTTCGACTTGTAATAAAAACACTTGGGCTTAATCAATGCTCATTGTTTGCCTGTGATTGTGTGTATCTGAAATTTATTCATAAGATACTAAATGACAAGGTGGGACTATTGGAGTTTTTCATCATAAAAAAATAAAATAAAATAAAAATGAATTGAATTTGAAAAGAGGAAAAATCTTCAAGAATGGAATAAAATCTGATTGCCTTGTACTAATTGAAGCAGCAAAAGAGATTTTCCTAGTTTGATAAGCAAAGCATATATTCTGTAGTGCTTGAGAAACTCTAGTACATAATTTTAATGTGCACAACAAGGCCCTAATTTCTGTTGAAACTAGTTGGATCAAATGTCATGTTATGAAAGATTTATTAACTCATCAGATCTATGACACAGTTTGCAGATACATTCACAACTGCATCAGCTAGAGATATCTCACAGAGAGAGAGAGAGAGAGAGAGAGAGAGAGTAATGAATTCTTATCCCCTCACAATTGTCACTGTGATTATCTATTTCCTCCATTCCATCAATGCCCAAACCTCTTTCTGCAACAAGGAATGCCCTATCACTAACATGAGCAGAGGGGTTGATATGCACCAAGTTCACTCCCATATGCAAGAAATGGAGTCTCTTCACATTCCCAATACTAGTGTTCAAACTGCAAAACTAAGATCATGGCATAGTCACCATGCTTGGCATCACTATCGGCACATAAGAGCTGTAAGAGCTTTTTCAAATCAGCTATAAATATTCTACTTGCACAAAATCGGATACAACCTTCTCACGTAGATGTCAACCCACATCATGTGTTAGTGTTTTGTCCAATTTCGTAATTGATTTCTCTATTCTTACACATTTTGTTATTCAAATTAACTTCAAAACTCTGCATATTCCTTCTCTAAGTTTTCATTAGTGCTCTCTCCAAAAAAATTTAATAGAATATTATACCATCAAATGAGGACTAAACCAAGTGTATTTACATTATTTAATGAGGGGCCACCGGCTCATGGTGAGGGAAAAACTATGAATTATGAGTATTCCAAGAATTATGTCATATTGGGTATGAGTATGCATAATAGTACAACTGCATATGATTCTTTTGGGGTTAATTTTGACAGATGCATGGGTTTCTAAACATCATAGGATGGGGGACGCTGTTGCCAATCGGGGTGATCGTTGCGAGGTACTGCAGAGAAGTGCCAATGAAATGCAGTGAATGGTACACGCTTCACACTAGGTGTCAAATTTCAGGAGTTTTTCTGGGCTCAATTGGTTGGGTCTTTGGTATGTTGCTCAGAAATGCTTCCAAGCATTACAAGTTACATACACATGGTGTTCTGGGTACCATTATTTTCACATTGGCAACAATTCAAGTAAGTCTAAAACTCTCCTCCACTCAGTTGATCAATCTTGGGGCATGTTTAGCTGTATGTTCATTTTTGTGGTTTTGTTTTTGAAAACACAAAAATTTGAGGGTCCAGTTTGCGTTTCTATGGGCTCACTCTAGACTTTTTGATTATTAAAACTGTTCAATTTATTGGGCTCGGCATGTAGATAATCATAATCTATGCAAAAAAATGAAGTTGATCAACAATCAGTAACCATATAATCCGTTTATATGTGAATGCAAAATAAAAATAAAATAAAATAGGCGGTTTATTTTGAAAATTGTACTTGACATTTTCTTTTCTTTTTTTAATAGAGAAATGTGATCCAATTATGTGACTGTAAATATTTGATTAACTTGATTTTTTACATAGATAATTTGCTCAACAAGCTTTCTAACTTCAATAATTCAGATTATCAAATTGGGCCTAAGATGAGCCCACATCTAAGCAAACTAGACCCTTTGGTCGAAAATTTGGATAGGAGACATGCCTCCTCAGTTGTCGGAAATTGTTCTCAATGAAATTTAAAAATAAAAAATAAAAATAAATAAAAAAAATCCCTCTTAGGAAATACACTAAAAAAAGTTGTTTTTGAAAACTATTCTCGCACGAAAAAGGAAACCAATAATGATGTTACAAACTTCTTATTATTTTTTTCTCGGTAAAACACGAAAGGTAAAAATGAAAGCAGAACAAAACAGGCATCCTTCCTTTCTATAACATCATATATAATGTCCTTCAGGTGTTGAGCATTTGTTTTAAACCAGAAGAAGAACATGAATGTCACAAGTACTGGAAGGCATGGCATCATGTTTTGGGGTATGCATTGATTGCTATGATCATAGCAAATATATTTCGAGGGATTGATAATCAAAGTCCAAAATACAGATGGAAATGGACTTACATTGTAATCCTAGCAATTTTGGCTTCAATTGCCCTAGCTTTGGAACTTTACAAGTGGATTAAGATCATAGTTTACAAATCAATGGTGTTGAATAGAAGCACTTACGCTTCTTCTTGATTTTTTTTTTCTCTTTTTCTTTTCTTTCTTTTTTCTATTTAATAAGCCTATGCTCAAAAGGCCTCCATTACAATGTCATTCTTTGAGTTATAAGAGAATCTCCAATAAATTGATGTCAAAAGTAATGTTCATGCCAAATTTTGACATGTTATAGTATCAAAATATTATAGTAATACAAATATTAATTTTTTTTTATTTTTTTAAATTTTTTTTATAAAATGCTAAATAGAAATTGTATTTGTGTGTCCATCATCAAAAAGGTAGAAACAAAATGTTTTATTAAATTTTGAAAACTATCAAGCATTGTGTGGTACAAGGTTTGACAGTGTTATAATTTGATAAAGGTTTTCACAAATTGTTGGAGATGAATCTTTGAGAGGCCTTGCGAAAATTCTCTCAGTAACCTCAAACTCTACTATATAGCTATATTTTTCCAAGAATTTTATAATATTAACCACAACTTTCTAAAATTTCTATCCTCATTCTTTCAACTTAAACTTGATTTGAGCTCAATCTCAACTAATTTTCAAAGAATCAAGCTCGTGCACTTCAAAACTCAGCTCGAGACAACTTGTTTGTATAACGAGTGCTTTAACCTCAAAACTTTAAGAAATTATTATTATTATTATTATTATTATTATTATTATTATTATTTTGTATATACAACTCTCTTACGTGAGAGGTGTGATAAATTTTTGTATTTTCAGACTTTTTCTTAAGAAACTTGTGGATGAACAAGGTAGTTTACTTTATTTTTATTATACCCCAAAACTTTATACATTTCACAACAAACAAAAATGTTTTGCTATTTTAATTTAATTAGGGAAATATCAAATTAGTGTTGTTTTGAAAAAATAATTACAAATCAACGATAAACTTTATAAATATTAATAATTAAACTCATACATTTCTCCAGGAATCTATAATTATTTTTTACAAAATTTACTGAATTGTAATTTTGCCAAATTAATTCTCAAATCTTTATCAATTTCTCTTATGGCCAACAAACCATTCTTAGGCTTCGTTTGGCTATGTGGGTTGGATTGGGTTTGGACTAAATTAACCACTAAAAGAAAAAATAAATTAAAAAGTTAATAAGGTAAAATGTTACACTCAAATCATAATCATTTCATTTCTTCTCTCACAAAAATCAAAAAAATTTTGCCAAATAAACTTTTGAGTCCCATGCTAAAAAAGTAACTCCAAAAAGTTTATGAGCCTGAAATTGATGCAGTTTTGATGGATCTGTTTGGGCTTGACTTCAGTTTGGCCCTGTTCATCAGCCTGACGGTTTGCAACCACATTGTTTGGCTCCCTATACATTTGTTACTTTGATTTGATCCTTCAAGGCTGTGATGAGAAAAAGAAAGAGAGTCACAATGATACATGTCATTGAATTTGAACCTGCATGGATGGCCTAGTGGTTAAAGGATTGAACATTGGAGCTTAATTATGGTGTAATTCTTAGAAGATCTCATGTTCGACTTGTAATAAAAACAATTGGGCTTAATCAGTACTCGTGGTTTGCCCGTGATTCTGTGTATCTGAAATTTATTCATTAGATACTAAATGACAAGGTGGGACTATTGGAGTTCTTCATCATAAAAAAATAAAATAAAAATGAATAGAGCTTGAAAAGAGGAAAAATCTTCAAGAATGGAATAAAATATGATTGCCTTGTACTAATTAAAGCAACAAAAGAGATTTTCCTAGTTTGATAAGTAAAGCATATATTCTGCAGTGCTTGAGAAACTCTAGTACATAATTTTAATGTGTACAACAAGGCCCTAATTTCTGTTGAAACTAGTTGAATCAAATCTCATGTTATGAAAGATTTATTAGCTCATCAGATCTATGACACAGTTTGCGGATACATTCACAACTGCATCGGCTAGAGATATCTCACAGAGAAAGAGAGAGAGAGAGAGTAATGAATTCTTATCCCCTCATAATTGTCACTGTGATTATCTATTTCCTCCATTCCATCAATGCCCAAACCTCTTTCTGCAACAAGGAATGCCCTATCACTAACATGAGCAGAGGGGTTGATATGCACCAAGTTCACTCCCATATGCAAGAAATGGAGTCTCTTCACATTCCCAATACTAGTGTTCAAACTGCAAAACTAAGATCATGGCATAGTCACCATGCTTGGCATCACTATCGGCACATAAGAGCTGTAAGAGCTTATTCAAATCAGCTATAAATATTCTACTTGCACAAAATCGGATACAACCTTCTCACATAGATGTCAACCCACATCATGTGTTAGTGTTTTGTCCAATTTCGTAATTGATTTCTCTAAAGATTTAAAGGAATTACACAGGTATACTCTCAATTACCTAGCGAATCCACGCCTAATTGAACCAACCTCTATGTACCTCTTCCAACCCCTCTTCATCTCGGAATTGTCTTTACGATGAGCCACCCCGGAATCCACCAAAGCTTCAGGCTCCAATTCTTCAGAATCTACCGAAGAACAACTCTATCTTTTGTAGAATAAACAAAACCTTTGATGCATACTCTTTAAAACATGAGTTGAATACTCAATCAAAACATCAAAGGAAACTCACAAAGTATCCTTAGATATAAACCCTAGAACCCAAAAAGAAGATCTGGAGTAGTCATCCTAAAATTTGACCCAACACGCGAATTTATAGAATCTGTCCCGCGATCTCCGCTCGAGCGCCCAACAGCCCACTCGAGCGGCTTCAGCAAAATATGCGAGTGATATAACAGAGGTCCGCTCGAGCGCTAGAGAACCCGCTCGAGCGCGAAATTAGTCAGCTCAGTACTTTTACAGGCGACCAACACTTTTGGAACCAGAGATTCTCCACTCGAGCGGGATAAAGTCCACTCGAGCGGACAGGCAACTTGGAATGCATTTTTGCATTTTGCTTCGGGGGCGCTACCCCTCGACCCCGCCATGGCGCTGCCCCGGACCCATCAAGGGGCACTGCCCCCTGGACCCCCGCGAGCTGACCGGGCAGCTCGATCCCCGTCATAATCAGCGATGTGGCAATCTTGAAAGCATTAGCATCACAAACTTCTCTGAAAGGCACAATTCGGGTTGAATTCGCATCTAAACACTCATAGCCTCACTGAAATAAAAATACAAATAAAATTATAACTCAAAGGAGTTTTGTCAAACGGGATTGGCAAGAAATAAAACCTAACAAGGTTGATATGCACCAAGTTCATTCCTATATGCAAGAAATGGAGTCTTTTCACATTTCCAATACTAGTGTTCAAACTGCAAAACTAAGATCATGGCATAGTACCATGCTTGGCATCGCTATCGGCACATAAGAGCTGCAAGAGCTTATTCAAATCAGTTATAAATATTCTACTTACAAAAAAATCAGTCACAAAATTGGATACAACCTTCTCACATAGATGTCAGCCCACATCATGTGTTAGTGTTTTGTCCGATTTTATAATTGATTTCTCTATTCTTAAACTTTTTGGTATTAACTTCAAAACTCTGCATAATCCTTCTCTAAGTTTTCATTAGTGTTTTCTCCAAAAAAATTTAATAGAATATTATACCATCAAATGAGGACTAAACCAAGTATACTTTGCCAAGTGTATTATTACTTTATTTAATGAGGAGCCACTGGCTCATGGCAAGGGAAAAACTATGAATTATGAGTGTGGGTGAGAGGTGTGGTTAGAGGTAGTCTAGGAAAATGGCAGGCACTTCAATGGCCTGAGATCACCGGAGGTGGAGAGGAAGAGGTCAAGGCAAGCTTGGAGAGGGAGAGGTTGGCAGTGATGGACCTTGAACACTGATGTAGAGTGTGAGAGAGGATGTTTAAGTGTGGGATTTGGTGTGTTAGAATTATAGAGTTGTGTTGTTATGGTGTCTTGCTGCATAGACGATACGCTATATAGGCCATAGGAATATTGGAGCCCAAGCAAATTGTTGGACAGGTGGCTCGTTCTCCCCAAGTCTACCAGAAGTGATATAAGCCCTTCTGCCGTCTGTGGCTTGACAGCAGGCGGAGAGCAACATTTCATGGCAAGCGAAAAGTAATGTTTCGTATATGCATCGGATGACATGAATGTAAGGTCGTTGTTGTCTCTTCTGCAAGTTTGGTCGAGATGGAATTGTCTTAGCAAGAAGACAACCATCTCGACGATCCCATGACCTCAACCGCTAGTCCAATATCCTCTGATGATCCTGAGCAGTCGTGCTTGGGTCCTGCTCCCAACCCAAGCATCCAAGTAGGTGCATGGGCCAGGGCCGACCTTAGTGTTTAGGAGAGCCAAGGGCTTGCTTCCAAGCGACCAAGTAAGAGAACAGGTTGTAGGCCTATCTCAATGTTTAGGAAAGCCAGTGTTTGTCAATCCAAGTGAACTGGGGCCTGATTATATTGTTGTTTGGTCTTGGAGCGAGGTATGAAGGACCATAGGCCTTGTGGGGCCATGGTACTGCCTGTCGCAGGGCTTTTCATATTTAGATATATTTGGGCTTATATGTATGCTCCCGCTTAGGCTAAGCATATAATCTTGGTTTTGCGTGGTGCCTTGGCATATGGCGCCCGTAGGGCTTGCCATGTATCAAACATATGACATGCCCACATGGTGCCTTATTGGTTTGCCATGTGGGTAACGTTTTGGTGATGTGGTACTCGTAAGGCTTGCCACGTATTGGGCTGGATAAAGTACCCACAATAATGCCCCCCTGTACAGATGTTGTTATAGCTAATGAAAGTATTTGTACATGAATGTGTTAAAAAGTTTTGAAAAGATCAGCTCATGCGGATAAGTATTCAAATAAAGTTATCTAAGATTAGGCTTTTGACATTTTAAGTTTTATCTGGTGCGAGCCAGCCGGATGAAGATGTGGGCTTGTTGGGTGATGGCTCGATTCCACGAAATCTCCACCACTTCACAGGAGATTTCAGCTTCGTTCCATAGGCACCAAATTCTGCCCATCACCCTTTCCATACTGCTAGGAGGGGGGCCATGGCCTTGGTTTGGAGTAGCCCATGATTTTACTCATAAACTAGGCTTCGTTTTCTTTATTTTTCGTGTTCGTAATGATGACGAGATCGAAGCGTCCATAAGAGTGTACGTGTGTATAGAGCTGGAGGAAGTTAGGGCGAGCAACGTCCTTGGTGT